CCGCAGAATTGCCACGTCATCTCTGCGTTGCCTCAGCACCTTGGCACCTGACAACCGGATGATGTTGGCCTTGCCACGCTGGGCCACAGCACGTCCTGGGGCTGAGGAATAGCCTTGAACAAAAATATGTGACATTTACCAATATCAATGGCCATTTCAGGTACATCAGGTACCTAAATTGGAGGTACTGTACCATATAAAGCCATAGAAATTGAAGGTGTATATGTATACATATATATATGTATCTATATCACCTGAAATTTAGCCCTTACATAGGCCTGAGATAGGTACCTCCAGTTTGGTTAGGTTCCTGAAATGGCCACTGATAATATCAATGGATTGGTTTATAGGAAACTACAATATTTCATGGCAAAATCCGGGATTTCTTGTTGAGATTTTTCCTTAAACCAAATAATAATGATCCCATTGAAAATCTTTGAATCAAATTTGGACCTGCAGAAATTCCTCATTGTCCATGGAAGACTTGAGGCCCAAGGGGGGGTGAACGAAAGCTAAGGTTCATATGAGCCTGGAAACATCATAGGATTTTGATGGGATTTGGATATGCCGAATGCAGATTGCCTAGAGACCTGGCATGATTTGAGCCCCTGACCATCTGCTTCCAACAACGCCGATGCCCCGAAAGCTTTGGGGGGAGGGGGGGTTCAATTGAAAAATCACTGTGCTGGACTCAGACCTGCCCTTCCCCTTGCAGAAGCAAGAGCAACTCCAGCTAGCTACCGCTAGCTTTCGTGAAAAATCTATGGAAAAGTAGTAATGATGAAAATAACGCATTTCCCTTTCCAGATTTGACACGGGCTACTAACTTGGAAGGGCTGCCACACCAGCGTTCCCGATGTTCCCAAGCGCGGAGAGGCTATCATCCTGTATGCAAGTAGAAGCCTTGGTTCGAGTGCCACAGAGGTGCAGCCTGTGGTCATAGGATGTATTCTATACGTGCATGTATGTGTATATATATATATATACACACGCAGATATATATATATATATATGTACATTTGTATATGTACATATGTATATATACACAGATTTATATGGGGATCCCCAAAGGTAGAAAAACGGCTTCCAGGATGTTGTTGATATGTTTCCCCGTGATTTCCAGCCAAATCTTCCAACCTTTAGGTGGAATCCTCTGGATTCCAATGGGAAAATCACCCCTTTTGTAGGTAAATCATCTATAAATGGGCCCATGTTTCCTCATTTTTCCATGTGAAATGACCGGGGGGGTACTATATACTTCTCTGTGGTCAGGGTCCTCCTAGTAGGACTCTTCCAACCCTCATCGGAAATGCTGACCAAGAATAACCCATCCCATCACTGAACCATATCGCCGTGCTTGATATTGTTTTCTTGAAGAGAACATGTGTTAAAATCAAGAAAATGGGGAGGGGCATAATCATGTATAATCCATATGAGCGCTCATATGTAATCCATCTATTCCATGCTTTTGGGCTTTTGACGGTTGCGTAAATCACAAGATTAACCTTCTGGTTGCGTGGGAGACCACAGCCCATCTCCATACAAACATGCAGATGGAAAGAACGATAGGCAGGATAGCTAAATTGCATAGTTAAACTAGATAGGCAACCAAATGGATGGTCAAATAGTGAAATAGATAGATTCTTAGATGGATGACGGTAATATACCAGTCGTTAAATGCATAGAAAAAAGGTCTCTGTTAGATGCGTATATCAATATTTAGATTGAGATTTGAATGCAGATTCTAAATTAGATATAGCAAATCAGATTGGATTAGAGTGTGTTGAGCTAGGTGAGGGTAGCTTAAATAGATAGAGAGGTATATACACATTATATGTACAGTATATATATGCGTAATGATGCGTAGACATATATGGCTGTTTTTGTGTGTATGTGCTTGTCTGATTTACCCCCATTTTGGCTCATCCCCTGTTTTCCTAGCCAAAAAATACTCCCGAATTCCCCCATGGTGTCCCGACCTTTTGATCATTTGGTGGTTTCTTAAACTGGGACATCCCCAGGTCACCATGGCTTTCAATATGTTTCAATCCTAAAAAAGGTGGAATTTAGGATGATTTTGAGCACCCCCCCCCCATTTTTTAGGATGTTTTTGGAAATTTTGGATACCTCCCATCAGTAATTGAAATGTCTATGATGATGTTGGGTACTCCCCATTTTAGGAAACCTCTATTTTTGATCTAAAGCTTGGTGAATTTGCATCACACTGGAGCTGGGTCCGGCGCACCGAAGTTGCCAGGCTCACCCTCGCGGCAAATCTTGTCACCTCCTGGTGGCTTCAGCTGATCGATCTGGAGATGGCGGTTTTATTTCAATATCACACAGTTCTGAAGTGGTTTATTGTTGATGATAGTCTGCATAGCCCATTGAATGTTAATTTTTGATGGTCAAATTCAAGCAATAGCAATTATAATGTGGTAAACCCGTCCAAAAAACCATCCCCCAAATCAAAAGTTGTGTGGGTGCTACAAACAATCCCCCAAATATTGAATTAATCAGCGGCGCTCCATCCTTTTGTCCTGCTTCTCTGGTTTAGTGATCGTGCTGGCTTGACCAAACTTTACATGTCCTGACCAAACTTTACACCAAACTTTACATGTCCAGCACATAGAAAAAGAGAACCAGCATGGGCAAAGCAGTGGAGGTGAATATGGGGATGGCGGTGGGCCAGCTTGAGAGGAAGACAGGAAATGGTCAGTCATGCTGCTAAGTTTCAGCGGCACTCCATCCTTTTGTCCTGCTTCTCTGGTTTAGTGATCGTGCTGGCTTGACCAAACTTTACATGTCCACTTACCCCCACGAGTACTGTGCCTTGCTTTATGCCCATGCTGGAAGAACCAATTCCACGTCGGTTCAGGGTACTGCCATTGGGAAAAGGCATTTGCCAGCTTCAAAACTTCTGGGAAAACACTCATCGCTTGGAGCACTTTCTGCTTTGACTCTTCTTCGATATCGTTGAGGTAAGTGCTGGTGGACACCTCTTGAAGATATACTTCCATCACCTTCATGGAAGCCCACCTGCCCCTTCTTCGTACTGTCTCAGCAGATTCGGTCAGTGCTATCAAGTGAGTCGCTCCTCCAGGTCTGAAACTTGAAAGCGTCATTGGTTTGACTTTGCTCTTTGTCGTAGTCGGAAGGCCAAGTCTTGACATGACCTTGTCAAGGCGCGACCTCAGAGTAGATGATGAGCCAGGCCAAAGTTTCTCATCCTTTCTAAGGTCACCAAGGCCAAGCCAACAAGTTTCGATCAGGTCAGGCGCCTCAACCTTTCCTGATTGGTGCCTCGCTGCACGAAATCTTGTCTTTGGCTCTCTGACTTTCAGCAAAATGTGGTCTATGCTATGCATTACGTCATGAGGAAAAACAAGGTCTGCCCTGGTAGCTGAGAGGATCTCCCCAATACGAAAGAGGCCCCCCCATGCTAGTGCAAAAACTCCTGCTTCGCGCCGCCATCCCCAGAGTAGACATGTTGACAGCAAGGCCAACAACAGCTGAAAAGGCATTGATTGGTGATGTTCAACAGGCTCGAAAGAACACCACATAAAAGCCAAATCCCACGCCTGACTAAGAGACCTTCGCAGCACTGGTCTCTTAGTCGAAACTGCATTTAGTGTCTCACTGTAATGGCTGTACGGCTTTCCCTGGTCAAAGAGATACCTACCATAGTTTGCCAAGAAAGAGTTGATCTTGTCAAGGTTTGGCGGGTTCTCCCAGATCAGATCGTCAAATGAAGTCCCAACCGTACGCAGCCAGCTACCAAGATTCACCAACAGTTGGGCGCGGAAAGATGATGTCTGCTCTGTCACTCTGCGTCCTTCTGGCAGTTCTATCCCAGCTCGAGACTTCAGACGTTGCAGATCGCCATGGCTAGGAACAGCTACAGCTACAGGAGTCCACCCAGTCAGTAAAATCCAAAAAGGAATACCCCAAAAAGCCCTAAGCCACTGTGGTCCCTCCCCGGGAAACCCAAGAGTCTGATCAAAATCCATGGAAGAGCGTGACCTAAGTCCAATGGTCGGAGGATACCTGCGACTTGCGGAAGGATCTGCGAAAAAGGAAATCCAAGACGGGACAAGCAGGATGGAGAGACGAATCCAATTTGAAGTCCAACGCCTGAGACCCTTAAGAGTGCAAAGCCACCTGACCTCCTGGGGAAGATGAGGAGCCAGACTGCGAGTTGGAGCTGGGATATCTGAGTCTCTCGTGGGATGGTCTGCTGGATTGAGACGTGTAGGTGTGAACCTACCAGCATGGTAAAGTCCATAGGCAATGCTGAGAGAGGATGCTCTTTTTAGAAGAGGGCGCAGAGCCAGAGAGGAAGTTCTGCCTCTATTGATGGAGCAGAGTGCAACATGGGTATCATAGAGGTTGACAAATCTGACATCTCCCCCTTGCTTGGCTTCCTCCTCAAAAACTCTCAAGCCTGACGCTACTTCAAGCAAGTTGATATGGCTTACACCCTTCCATCTCCATGCGCTAACTGTTTCCCACTCAAGGCTCGTAGAGAGATCGTTGGACATGATATCCTCAAGCCCTTTTTTCTCCTCAATGTCGCAATGAGCGTTGAGAGGCCTCAAATGATCCCTGAAAGCCTTTGCAAGCTCGATGGCCAAACCTTCAGTATATGTCGCGCTGGCCTTGGTGTAGCACCCCTCCACTCTGATGTGAACATGATTGCGTGGGCATTTCCTGTGAAGGTGGTCCACATCCATGTGCACATTCATGAAAGCAAACTCTTTCTGGTGGGGGCTACCAAAGGCGCAGGACGCAAGGATGACTTCCTGAGCACCTCTGGCTAACAGCCGCCGCCACATAGGGGTCCAGCGCAGCTTGGATCTTCTTGTAGTTTCTGTCATCCCGTACACGTCCATCCGCAATGCCACCGTCATCAACCCCAAGCTAGCAAAAGCAAGTTGGTTTCCATGGAGCACCCGAGGATGCAGCCTGTCAAAACCCAGTGGCATCAGGTAGCTTCTGAGGGCAGGGTGCGCAGCTGGGCTAAACGTTGTGCCAGGAGGAGCTGCCAAAAAACTTCTCAATCTATGATTCTCCATCATAAAGCAAAGCCAAGAGAATACTCTGCACTTCCTCAGGTCATACTGCAAACTCTCGGAAAGATCAAGAATAGGGCCACAGACGACACCCAGTGCAACCAGATGCTTTGTGACTACGCCAGCTCCTCCAAAAACTTCAATAAACTCAAAGTACAAACCAATTGGCCTTTCCACCTCCTCAGCACTTTCCCCGTCTCCGGCCGGGAGGGGTTCATCAAAGAACTCAAAGGACTCATCGTGGTATGAGTGAAGGGCAGCTGTCTTTGACGGAAGGGCAACATTCTTCCCCTTCCTGTCAGCAGTACGCCAAAGGATCTTGGCAATCTCCTGCGGGACAGGTGCTCGCACAAATCCTCCCTTTCCAGTTGAGGCGTCTGACGCATAGATGCGATCCGCAAAAGGTGCTGCAATGTTGCTGGCAGCAAATGGAGCCAGTGTCGCTAAAATTAGGAGCTCTTCTGCGGCTTTCCTTGGCAACCTCCTCAACCTAGGCCTCAATGTATCCAACTCCTCTGGGGCGATGACTTGAAACAAATCGTTGACATGAGCCATCAAACATCGCCTGAACATGAGGGCCGATATCCATGATCCCATGAGAGTGGCATGCAAAGCATCAGAGGTGTATGGGAGGTTTGCAAGAGCAGCACTGATCATTGCTAGTCCCAGCCTCTTGTCAAGGGGAGCACCAATGCTAACAAGGCCTCTGTCCACAAGAACTGTAGAGGAGTTGATCTCAGCTCCAACCGCTCTGAAGACAAGCGCATCACGCACCTCTTTGTCATCTGATCCTGTGATCCCTTCTGATGCATAGACATCCTTCGCCTTGTCCAAAACCTGGCTTGACTTGCCCTGCTTCAGCAGTCTGTCACCAGAAGCCAAGATCCTATCTTCCACACTGACAATGAAGAAATCATCAATCACAAGGCCAGTCGCTGGATCATTGTGGATCACTGCTTCGTCAGACTGCAAGATGCTGAGAGGATCCCTACAGCCCTGCTCCTCCAGCAACCTCCCGTGAGAATCGCATGCAAATTCGACACCCAAATGGTCTCCTTGCAGCAAAGATTGAAAACACGCATAAACCTCTCCTTCGGAGGAGCCTTCAACCAGCAAGGGCTGAGGCTCGCCCAAAAAATCTCCCACATCTTCTCGTGCCTTCTTCTTGCTCTGCGGTGAAAAATGAAAAGCATACTCTTCATGTGCTCTTGTACCTACAAACCTTGCTGCATTGAACGCTGGAAATAGCGTATTGGTGGATGCCCTCTCAAATGGGACTGCAAACTGATGATAGAAGTCTCGACGGTCTGTGACAGACCCACAGAGGACTTTGGAGAACCTAGGGACCTCAAGCTGCAGCAAAGACGGGCCTGTGGGCAAGTTGCTTGATGGTCCTCCTCGCAGGATGCCCTCTACGTAATTAGCTCCACGCCGGTCTCCAATCTGCCTGTCTGCATCTATCCGCTTGTAGTTTCCAAAAATCCTGGTGTGAAGAAACTTCTGATCGTCTGCAGGACCATAACATTTGGGGATCAAAGTCAGCAGGTTGTTGGCATCCCAAATGAGACAAAGCTTGAGCACTTCCTCGGGATCGCACTGCTCAACGTTTGGATAACTCCCGCAAGGAGGCTTCCCATTCCATCGCAAAACCCTAGGCTCAACAAAAGGCATGTACAAGAAATCCGACAAAAATTCCTCGCACCTCCACTGTCCTTTGCCTGCAATCTTAATACGCCCTGCATCAAGCTCCCTGTAGGGCTTAAGCTCCTCATACCTCGAATCATCCAAAGGGACCTCCTCAGCCTCAAAGCCAGAGTGGTACTTCGACTTCGCCTCCAACCCTAGGCCTTCCAATCCCTTCAAAAGCTCATTGAATCTTGCATCTAATTGAAAACTCTTCCGGCCACACCCTGCGATTGAAACGTTGCAGGAAGGGCCACACGCTCTCACAAAAGCCATCAGCCTATGATACACTTGCAAATGTAAGGCTGAAGGCTGCCTCCGGAGCAAGGGTAACACAGCAAAAGGAGCCCTGAAGTATTCATAGTTCATTGCCATCACTGCACAATGAACCAGTTTTTTCTGTGCCTTCAAAAGGCGACTCCTCTGGCTGGGTCTTGCCGGGCCCGTCTCCGTAATCTCAAGAAAAGGCCACGGAATCGGGAAGAGAGCCGTAGCAGTGAAGTCATCACGACCACTGCGGCAGGACTTGAAACTCTGTACCAAGAAAAATGAAAATGAAGTCTTGGCCCCGAGCAGTTGGCGCACAAATTGCTCAACCCAAGACGGAAAGGGAACTTGCCGGAGGACTCCAACATCATTGTATCGAACCTCAGGCGCATCTAATTTTGGCGATGAGCGTTGGGATTCAGACTGCTTCGAATCATCATGCCCACTTCCACCTCCAATCACAGCACATTTGCCGGCAGTTTCATGCTGGCCTGTGTGCTCAGTATGGCTCTTGGGGATTTTTAGATTTTTTGTTGAGCCATCTATGAATTCATTGCCATCTGCGCTGAAACTCACAAAGGAACTCATGCTGCCATCATGGTCAGAGTCATATGGCCCCTCTTCTTCCCGACTGTGTATTGCGGTTGCCCGCACTGACGATGAAGAGCTCAGCAAGGAAGAGAGGGGCCGACTCTCATTTTGCTTATAGTCCCCAAGGGCTACGTTTCCTCTTGGGGCTTTGCAGGGCCTTTCCCCTTTGGCGAGCCCTTTCCAGGCTTCTTCGGGGCAGCCTTTGGCTCGCTGAGGCCTTGAGGATTGCCCTTGGGCTGATGAGTCATCTCGCTGCGCTTCTGGTGGATATAGTCTATCTCTTTGCTGTATGCCAGCGCAATCGTTGTCCATCTCTGAGGGCAAAGAGGGGCAAACGCCCTCAACTTGGGATCGTATCCCGCCTGCCGGTAGGACCACAGTTGGGATGGGGGCTCGTCCAGGAGCATGAGTCGATACGCTAGTTCCCATCGTCCATGGTCCATGCAGGCTTGTTCCACCCCCACCATAAGAAGAGCTAGGTGCTCCTTCGCACCCTCGGAATCTCCATGGACAAGAGCATCGCAAATGTGAGCAAGAGCATACTGGATCAAACCCAGTTCTTTCGATCCACCGTAGCCGCCGAAGCGTTCCAGATACTGGACCATCGAGAAGTCTGTCTGGGCAAGGGCATCCACTGTCTCTGGCATCTTCGATGCCGGTTTCAACCTCCGAGCAGCATTTTGGAGGACTGCAAGAAAGAAACCTCCTGACCTCATCGCGAGTTCTCTTTGCAGCTTCTCCCGACCAACCGAACCTCGTGTACCTAGTGAGCTGCCTGATGAGGTGCCGTGCCCGTCCAACAACGGATCTCCGCCTTGTTGAAGATGAGCCCCCAATGCCGTCAAAGCTTTGCTCTGCTCGAGGACTGCATGTGACAGGGGGTCCCCTGCCATTGGGCTCTTCTCCTCCGCAATCTCCTGAATGCCTAATGGAGGGTCTGGCGCCGGAGACATAGGCACAGCTAGCCTGGCCGCTGCTTTGGTTCTTGGGGGCTGCCCCAACATCTTGGCCACTGACGCCAGAGGAGCGCTGATAGGAAGCTGAGAGGGTCTTGGGGCCGGACGATCTTGTCCTTCCTCCACAGATCTTTTGAGTGCTTCCTGCTCGACCCTCATTGCCTCTACTTGCTGTGTCAAAGCAGGCACCACCTCCAAAAGAGTCCTCATCTGCTCGGCCAGGGATGCTGTAGTAACCCTCTTTGGTTTTGATTCCTTCGCTTTGGGCGGTAGCTTTGCTGCAGTCGCCTTCGGGGTCTGCATTCCAGGCTCCTCCTGCTCCTCCTCCATTGGCTGACCGTCCAAATCCGCTACCTCTACCCCTTCTTCCGCGGAGTAGAAAACTGCGCGTTGATCTGTGAGCTCGTTGAGCCAGGTCGCAACCCGGGACAAAAGCAGTCCTGAGTTTGGCAAAACATCCAAATCTTCTCCAAAGCCAACTATCCCCACATCCTCTTCTTCTGAAACCTGAGACATCGGTACCATATAGGAGAGAGCATCCAAAGCCACATCCACTACCACTACAGTCACCAAAAAGTCCAAAGGCTGAAGTCCATTCTGATTGCTGACCGCAGGAATGTCGAAGTAGTGGAAGGCCCCAACTATGGCATCTGCCTGCCCGGTGCACAAATCCAAGAGTGCAGCGGTGGAAGTCAAACTTTCTGGCAGAGCCAACAAAACACCTCCCCCTGCTCCATGTCTCTTTCTCACCACCAACGCGAGGCCGTAGGTCACCTCGTCGACCCCAGTTGGGGGCCAAGCAATTCGATACAGTTCCAGTGCGCCTGAACGCAGGTCTATCACTGAGTCGAGCTCCATGCGAACACCTTCTTGGGAAACTCAATCTCTGCTGCCAGACAGTAAACCTTTGCCTCTGACTTCGATGCGAAGCCGTGGCCAACAGGCCGGCAAGTGGGACCCTGGCAGATCCTTTGATACGTGGCTGAATCCTCCACAAGCTTGGGGGTTTGATGCCCTGCAGCTCTGAGGATAATGAAGCAGGTATTGGAAAGCCCGATAGGCTCAGCTGGCTCAGGCAAGCGGATCTTGTCTTCCAAGGCCAGCTTGGCCCAGCACCCAGCAATCCACGCTCGTCTAGCTCTCTGCTCTTTGGAAATCTGACCTCCTCTGAGCAATGCACACAATTCAAGGGCAGCCGGTGGGCACTGAGGGAACTGACCTGCCAATACCTCTTTGGCGTTTTCAGACAGCAGTGGGAACTCCCTAGTAACCTCAGATGACACCAAATCAACAGAAGAGTTGTCAGGGACAGGGCTCTCAGCGCCGTGATGAAGCCGCAGAAGGTCCCTGACTTGGGACTCCAAACTCAGCACTCGATCTCGCAGGTCGGATACTTGGCTCCTCAAAAGCACAAGTTCCGACTCACTCATGTAAGTAGGCTTGAAGCCTTGACCTCCTTCTCAGCAAGGAGTGAGGAAATTGAACCACAGACGGTCCGGAATGAGGCGGCTGAACAGGGCAAGACAAAATCCAATAAGCCCCAGAAATCCAAGAAGCAGTCCCAGAGAGATCCCAGCTAAGAGAGCAAGACAGATGACAATGAGGGACGAAGAACCACAATGACCAGGGCAACTAAGACCCCACCAATTAGTGGCAACTCCCAGCCTCAAAAATTCCAAGGTGGACCCTAGAACCGAGGTGGTACTCATCACCAGCTTGAGAGGAAGACAGGAAATGGTCAGTCATGCTGCTAAGTTTCATTGGTTTCACCACATTCACGTCATGTCCAAATTTGGATCAAAAATTGATGAACCGCCAATACCCGTGCCTTTGATGACCCGGATGGAGATCAAACCCACCAGGGCTGTCATAAAGTCCTGGAGGCAACCAGTTGTGGCTCGACCCTCAACTGATGCGCAACTTCCGAAATATCTGTCAATGGATTTGGTTTTGTTGGGAAAATCGAGGGAAAACCTATGGGTTTTTCCAGTTTTTCACAAACATGGAGGCTTCCTGCAGATTTCAAAAAAAAAACATTTTTCAGTGCCAAAATCGGCGATTTTCCCGGGACGGCATCCTGCGACGCATAGCTGAAGAGCCGCGGAAAGCAGCGGTTGTAGAACCTGCAGCAACAGCAAAGCCATCATCTCTCCATAGGCTGGAAAATTGGGTGTGTACAATGTACATATAGGTATATAGATATAGATTTATAGATATATGATATATGGATAGCAGGGACCCCCACACCCCCCCCCTCCCCCAGCCAGATGGTTCCCCCCCCCTGTGGCAGGGGAGGGGGGGTTTTCTCAGCAGCCACGCCGATATACGCAAAATATATAGCTCAGTGCAAGGAGTGTGCCAGCAATGTCCAAGGTACTGCGTGAGCAGCACTGGTGAGTATACATAGAAATCATGGTGTATGTAGTCTTTATAGTGCATATAGTGCATATAGTGCATATAGTGCATATGTATCGATAATTAGAATGGATATACTATATGTAATATAGAGTGTATGTGTGGTGTGTATATATATATATATAAACATATATATATAGTATGTAAGATATAAATAGAATATATGCAATATATACATATAATATATATATATATATTTTTGACAAATATATATATATTGAACATATATATATATATATATCGTATATGTGGATTTTGATAGAATATAGATAGTATATGCCACATGTACTGTATCCACAGTAGATGTAATATATACAATATAGGTAAATATGGTCGTTGAATAAATTTTACATAGTATATGTGGTATATTGAATATCGACGGCAATACACGCTGTATATCTAGAGTTTACGTATATATATATATATATGTTTATATATATAGATGCATATATATATGCATATATATATACATACATACATACATATATATATATACGTGTACAGTATGTACAATGTAAACGAAATATGTGATAGATACAAGATCAAGATATGAATATGTAGTATCTAGAATGTGCATATTTATATATATATATATATTTATTGTTTTTCTACTGTACATATGTCTAGGTTTGCATAGGTAAGCTTTGCGTAATCCATAGGTAGCAAATATGTTGTAAACCATGTGCGAGGCACGCTATAGGCGGTTCGAAAAAAAGGTTATGATAGAAATATACAGGTAGACAAGGTCCGTTGACGAGGTCGTGGCTCTCAAGTGCTGCAAATAATGTAGAGATGCGAGGTTGGAGGGGTGGAAAGGGGAGTATATATGTGTATATGTGCATGTATATGTGCAAATAACATGCAAATACTAGGTTTTCGGGGGGTGGGGGGGTTAGGAGTGGGGGGGGATACCATTGGGGGGTGCGGGTCCGGGGACCGGGCTCATATATATATACAATAAAAAATTCTCTCAAAGTAGCTTGTCCATCCAAGCGGTTTTTCTTCGCTTCCCCAAAGCAACCCAGGATTTTTGACAGGGGGGACTTTCAAATCTACTCCCATCACAGGATGCATCAGCGAGGTGCTTCTCTACCCAAGCGCTCATGAGATTCGAAAGGATCTTTTGGGCGCGTTCCACCAGCTTCGTGTGATCCTGGAAGAACCTGGGAACAGCCCGAGCTGTTGGTGTTCCAATAGGTCAAGGCTCACAAGGCTCACATATATTCATATATAGTCATTTCATATGATTTCATCTCATCTTGGATTTCATATCATATGAATCATGACATGTCATTTCACTTATGTGTATATATATATGTGTGTGTGTAATATGTATATCAAGAAGTTCAGAGCATGAGCATGTCTGGCCCCTTCCTACAAGAGACCCCAAGCCTCGCCAAGCCATCCCAAGCCCCAAGTCCAGCCACGTCTGTGAGAGATCCTCAAGCTTCTCATGGCTGAGGAAGTAGAGATTGGTTGCTGGACCGTTCAACCTGAGTCAGGCTAAAAGGGAAGTGAATTTATAGTGCTTAATGTTGGTTAAGCAATAAACAATAAACCACTTATATGTTGATGGTTTACTGTTACTTTGTATACTAACATTAATAATGATTTTGATTTAATCAACAAAAATTGGGATATCAATGGGAATGACCCCCCGATAATTTAACAGTTTGCTGTGGAAAGTGGGTGAAAATGGCACATTTAGTCATTTAGTTCCATGATTTACCTATTAAGGAGCGTGATATTCCCGGGTGATGTTTTGACCCCGCACTTCGATGAAATGCGGACCTGTATTGGGGGAACATTTGGTGAAACCATGCGAATTTTATTGGGGAAAGGATGGAGAAGGCATTTTTTGAAAGAGCTCATGGAGCAAGCAAGACATGGCAGTGTGTCAAAACCTTGTACCCCTGGTGAACATCAAAATAGCTGGTAAATGGATGTTCATCCCCCTAAAAATGGTATTTATAGGTATTGATCCATACCCACATCATTCAAATTGATTCCACGGCTGACATGGCGCGTCGAGCATGATTCCAAGAGCGCAACGCTGGCGGCTGACCCAATTATTTTGATCCCAACATATCCTACGCCCAAATAAAAAGAATGGCTAATGGTTGTGGAAAGTAGCTATGTATCACGGAGGTGTATATATATATACCCATATGCATATATATATATGTGTGTGTGTATGTGTATGGGTATGTCTGTGTGTCTGTGTGTCTGTGTGTCTGTGTGTCCGTGTGTCGGTATGTCTGTATGTCTGTATGTCTGTATGTCTGTATGTCTGTATGGATGTCTGGATGTGTGCATGTGTGCATGTGTGCACGTGTGCATGTGTGCATGTGTGCACGTGTGCATGTGTGCTGTGCGCATGTGTGCATGTGTGTATGCCTGTATGTGTGCATGCCTGTATGCCTGTATGTCTGTATGTCTGTATGTCTGCATGTATGCATGTATGCATGTATGTATGTGTGCATGCATGTGTGCATGTGTGCATGTGTGCATGCATGCATGTGTGCATGCATGTGTGCATGCATGTGTGCATGCATGTATGCATGCATGTGTGCATGCATGTGTGCATGCATGTGTGCATGCATGTGTGCATGCATGTGTGCATGCCTGTGTGCATGCATGTGTGCATGCACGTGTGCATGCACGTGTGCATGCATGTGTGCATGTGTGCATGCATGTGTGCATGCATGTGTGCATGCATGTGTGCATGCATGTGTGCATGTGTGTGTGTGTGTGCATGTGTGCATGCGTGTGTGCATGCATGTGTGCATGCATGTGTGCATGCATGTGTGCATGCATGTGTGCATGCATGTGTGCATGCATGTGTGTGTGTGTGTGCATGTGTGCATGTGTGCATGTGTGCATGCATGTGTGCATGCATGTGTGCATGCATGTGTGTGTGTGTGTGCATGTGTGCATGCATGTGTGCATGCATGTGTGCATGCATGTGTGCATGCATGTGTGCATGCATGTGTGCATGTCTGCATGTCTGCATGTCTGCATGTCTGTATGTCTGTATGTATGTATGTATACCCACGAGGTGTGCAACATTTTCATCCACCACTTGGAAAAGGCCATGTTCCAAGAGCTTTCCAACAGGATTTCCCTGCAATTCTTCTTTTTCCAAACACCTTTGGTGCAACTGAGGTCCAGTCTGCACTGTGAAGGGACTTTCCTGCAAAATGCCCAAGGCAACTTCCTGCGCGGCCAAAGCTCAGCCTTGCTGGATATTGTTGGGGGTTGGGCCCAGCCTGCCCTGCGATGCCAAGCATGAAGCTGTCTTCAAGGTCAGGAGTCAACAAGGTATCTTTGTAGAGCACCTGGCCCAGAAAATTGCTGGACTTTGGAGGGGAAAAGTCCTTTAAAAGACTGCGTCCTGGACAAGTGGCCTAAGTAAGCCCATGATGCCATGATACCCGCTGCTAGGGGGTCTGTTTGGGGCTGAACCTGGCACCTGCAAGGTCTTGATGTGTTCATCCATGGCCAGAATGATGCCCTTCCTGCCAAGGCTGCAAGGAAACCCAGAGTGTAGGTTGAAAGGTCTGGGGGAGTCCAACCATCATGGCCCAAAACACAGTGGGGGATATCATCCCCAGGCCAGAAATGCTTCAGCCCCCGCTTCCTCTGGTCAACAAGCATGAAATTCGAATGATTTCCCAGCTGAAAACATGTTTTTCCCCATTGCCACGTGAAGTGATTCCACAAATACATGCAACTTCCCTGTGCTCCGGGCTGCCTGGAAAATTTGGGCCCACACGATCAAAATCATCGAATTAACGCCTTCCCCCCAATAAGACATACCACCCAATCGAAATTCTGGTTTAGTATATTTGATCTGTTCATATTCGGGGGCCGTATGGTAGTATTGAATAGAATGCTAGGGAGAAATGGGCTTATGAATTCTCTACACCAATGCATTTTCCGGGTTAGATATGGGTTTGACTGAAAATATGGCCCCAAGATTTCGACACACATCATGGTTTATCATAATTTTCCCTGTGAAAATGGCCATCCGTGGAGGTGGCCCTGTCGGTCAAACATGGCAAGTGGAAATCCCCTGTAATCAACACCTACACTTCCAGGGGATTTTCCATTGCTCCCCACAGGAATCTCATGGTCTAAGGGTCGGACAGGTGCCATGGTACCGCCTCCCCCTGACTCATCAGCACTTTCGCCTGGACACCCCGGCATGTCATCCTGGTTGAGAACAGGTTTCCCAGCGCATGGTTTGTGATCCAACCCCATATATTCCCCATATCATCAACGACAGGGATGGTGAAATGTTTTGATCGCCTCTCAGGTGTGATTTTTTCTGGGATCAGGATTTCTATGAGTTTGTATCATACTTTATTATCTATGACCTCCAGGATGTCTGAAACAATATGTTTATTTTCTACAAATCCAGGCCATTCTGGGGTTTGGACTCCAAGCCATGGCAGATTCAGAGGTTGCCAACAGGGGCCCAATGAGTGCGTCTGAAAGTGTCGTATAACTACGCATCACCCAAAAGGCCATCTGAGCAGCCGAATTGATGATTGACCATTGGAACTGGAACTTGCTCAAAATTTCGGACAAAGGCATTTGTTCGGGGAGGTACCTCTAGCCATGATTTCACACCACGAAAAGAAGGACCTTGGAACTCGAGTGACTCAGGATTCTCTGTGTTACCATGTCATAAGTCATACCATGACCAGTCTGGAGTCTGGGGGCGGTTCCTAGTTCAGTACAGACCATCCAATTTCTAGCTCTGATTTCGTGTGGGGATCTGCGTTCCAGAGCTGGAATTTGATTACAATTGTGACCATGACATCCATGACATTTATGACCAACCAGGCAGATTTCTCTTCATTTCATGTTGAGAACTGCCCAGTTCCCTCACCAGCACCTTGGCTTGTGGCCGTTCAGCGGCGGGCACCAGAACGTCCCAGACCTGCTCATAGGGATCTTCCGCCTGAGGCTATGTACAGCATCCACTTGCGATGTTGGGGATGGACACCAAGAATCGCACTTCCCCGTGAAATTGAAGATGGAACCCATCTGACTAGGCCATTTCGACTAGGAAAACCATCTTTGAATCTGGTTCACTGGCTGAAATAGTGTTGTGAACCACAAGCAGGCTGCCTGTGGGGATGTAGGATCCGAAGTCCCATGGATGCATGCAATTCCCATTTTGCTGCATACATTGGTCATGTTCGCGGTTGGGATGTACTACAAGATTCCCCTTCAACGTTGGCTACCTCCAAGACTGCGCTACAGTACCTCGCAAATCTGCATTTTTATTCACATAGTCAGCAAAGGGAGACGAGAAATCTGCAAGCCGTAGGTTCTACATTTTAAATCATGTTGACTGTGAACCAGTTCCACTACCGAAGTTGATTGGTGACAATGGCAACTTCGATTGATGAACAAGGCACATAGCATCCCCAGATGATAGGAAAATTGAAGCCGGAAACTCCGGAAACCTCAAAACAAACTGTGTAGAAAACATTAGAAAACCAGGGTATTTCCTAGAAAACCCGTAGTTTTCAGCTATAGCAGCTAAGAGTTTCCTTTCCCCTCTGGTAATTTATGTGTACTTTAACGGTTTTGCGCTCGGCGGCCATGGTCCATGGCTTCCACTTCACCGCCTGGACAGGCTCTTGAAGCTTGGCGACATCTGCCAGCGGCTCCAAGGCTGAAGCTAACCTGATCTCGAGGAGATCTCGATCTCAATCGGAAACCCGTGGCTTTTATATATGGTGTATATACATGGTATATATATATGTGTATATATATATATGTATATATATATATATGGTGTATGTATATATATATATGTGTGTGTGTGTGGTATATATATATATGTGTGTGCGTGTGTGGTGTATATATATATGTATATATTGTGATTCTACATCATTGCAAGATCGTAAACACCCACCTATGAGATGTTGTCAATAACCTGGGGTTACAAAGCACTTGGTCCCATAGCACATGTTGGCTCTGGAGGGCCCTGGGTCGAAGGTGGGCGGGTAACACCTGTGCGTGAGCCATCACTTTGAGCGTGGACGCTCTACTGTCATTATTGGCCAGGGGCCATACATCACCTTGGTGAAACTTGCCTATTGGAGGTCCAAGGACCATTTGCCGTGCCTTTCAGGAGACGTTGCTCCTGGTTTTGTGCTACCAAGACTTGTGTGTCTTTGCGGGGAAAAGACTGCGAGCCACTTGCTTTTGGAGGTGGGAAGAGATTTGCAGCTGCCAGTGTGAGGTTTTCAACCACTCACACTGGTAGCGGAGCTCAGCTCTGCTCCAAATAGCTGAGTATCCAGGGAGGTGGTTTTGGAGGTGGAGAGATGCCTGAAGCATCTGATGGTGCTGATGGAACCTCCAGCACTCTTGTGCCCAATCAACTTGCAAGCCTGGTACCAACGTTTGACCCATCCAAAGATGACCTCACCGACTACACGAAGAAGGTGCAGCTGCTTATGAATATGTGGCCGGATGGCAAATGGACAGAACTGGCAACTCGTTTGATTCTGGGCTGTACCGGATCTGCTTTTCAGAAACTGCAATTGAAAAGTGCTGAGATTACCGTGAATGAGAAGAAATCAATACAACAGATCATAGAACTGTTGGGTGGCCAATGGGGCCAAATACCTCTGGAGAAAAAGTCTGAGTCAGCAGAACGAGCGTTGTTTCGATGTGTCCAGCGACAAGATGAGACCAATGACAGTTTTCTTGCCAGGGCTGATGTGCTGTGGCAAGAACTTCTGAACAAGGACATCAAGCTGGAAGAACTGCAGGCATATATCACTCTGAGGGGTTCAAATCTCAGTGCAGAAGACAAAAAGCGGGTCGTCATCGACAGCCAAGTGAGCACAGACGGCAAGCTGACGTTGAACAGAGTATCAGCTGCAATCCGCATGCTTGGTGCAGGGTTTTTCCATGAGATTACATCTGGAAAGAAATCTGGTAAACTGAAGACATATGATGCTAGCACCATGGTTGCTGATCAGGAGGACGATGACGAGGCCTCCCACACTCTGCATGCCGAAGCTCCCGATGAAATCAACGAGGATGAAATGATCGATGTGTTGGTGCAGGAAGGCGATGCTGATGCCATCCTGATCGCCGATTTTGAGACGGCGGCATCTGACGTGCTCCAAGGAGATGAAGAACTGGCAAGTGCGCTGAACGCGTACACTGAGGCACGAAGACGATTGAGTGAGAAAGTGAAATCTCGTGGCTTTTGGCCTTTGTCTCAGGGTTCCAAAGGAAAGTCCAAGGGTTTTAACCGTGGGGTAAAGGGTAAGTTCAGTAAGGGGCATAATTCCAGCCGTAAGTCACTGCAGCAAAGGATCCTGAGTTCCACGTGCAGGATTTGTGGAAAGATGGGACACTGGAAGGCCGAGTGTCCATCCAGGAATGATGCCACCGGAGCTTCCCGACCACAAGCTCCTACGTCTTTTGTCCAGGTGCAAAGTGACGCTGAAGGGCTGCCATTAGAGTTTCTCAATCTGCCAGCCTTTGAAGCCTCCGTAGATGTATCTCTCACATCGGTTAGCCAATGTTTTGTTTGCCATTCTGAAAGGGTTGACCCTAGGGAATCCAAGAACAGACTGCAAAGATCAGTCAAACATTGGTTGAACACCCAAGCCATTGCAGCCGAGCTCAGGACCCATGATGATCGAGATGCCTCGGAAACCTTGACAACCGTCAAGCCGAAGCCGGTGCCATCCCATCCCTGTCAAAGGGCTGACCAGAGTTCCATGAGTGAGCATGTAGCCATGTTTGCAACGTACAGCAGCCTAGGGGTTGTTGACCTAGGGGCAACCAAGACAGTCATAGGAAGCCAATTGGTAAAGGGTCTTTTAGAAGGTCTCTCACCCCAAGCCCGAAAGACTGTTCGAAGATGTCCATGTGCTGTTACGTTTAGATTTGGCAATCAAGGGACTCTCCAAAGTGAACAAGCGTTAGCCATTCCTATTCATGGGTTTTGGTTGAAAATTGCAGTGGTGCCCGGGTCAACCCCATTCCTTTTGTCAAACACCCTTTTGCGAGCGATTGGGGCCGTCATAGACGCCAGCCGAAAGACCATTTTTGCCAGCAAGATCAATAAGTTGATTCCAATCCAGCTCACCGAAAGAGGGTTGTTTCTTTTGGATTTGAATGATCTCGTGGACACGACCGTGTCCGAGCATGCAGCCGAAACTCACCAGGTGTCCGAAGAGACCAAAATGGAAGGTACACAGCCGTGTACAGAGTCTGATGCAGCCGACCCACAATCACATGTTCCATGCAGTGCCGATCACAACACATCCCATGACATGTCCACACCATCAACCACACACAAAACAATGACCGAAATCAAATCAAGTTCCAAAAACCTTACAAACATTATGGATGAGTTCATGCAAACAACCATGACGGACTCCGAATATCCCGATCCAATACCCTCGCAGCTCAAATTGCACCACGTTTGCCAAGAGCTTTCGATTTCCT